TTTTAATATGTTTACTTCACCGTAGTTTAATGAATTTTTTTGAAACACGGGGAAAGTACTAAGCTTCCCTCAACTTAGTCAACTAATAAAAACGTAAAATCTTTTCTTTGCTTTGTTTCAATATTGTTTCATACTATTGTTTACATTTAGACGAGAGCATTGTGAGACTGGGACTGTTATTTTGTAATCCTTAATCTTTACCTGATTCCATGATCTTCAATCTGATTAACATGTTGCTTCTTGCAGACTCTTTAAAATTTAAAAGTTCCTTTCTTATATCATGGATTATCCGACAAGGATTTAATCCAAACTTGACATTTGATTGCACATATACTAAAAAACAGTGTATTGGGAATCGAACCCAAATACTAAATTTTCCGCTCTTTAAAGATACCCCACAGTTGGGCTGTTTTTTTTCTTGGAAAGTTCAGACGATTTTGGCTATTGAACATATTTTGAATATTTTATATTTCCAAACTTTGATCTTTGTAGAATTTTTGAAGCTCAAATTTGGTAAGTTATTGCTTGATCGTAATAGACATAAACAGTTCAAGAGCTTTGTCGTTCAATTACACTTCACAATTTAAAGTCACAGACAATAAACAATTATCAGCTTTTTTATAATGCCGGTTTAGCATTAAAATGCTTAAATATCAAACTTTACGCCCCAAATACATGCAAGTTTAACTTTCACATTTACAATAAGTGTTAAATAAATAAATATAAAAAATGATTAAACTGAAATCACCCAAACTGTTCTAAAATGCAGAATTGCTTAAACATGACGCTGTTTTTTTAGCGAAAGTGAAGATGACTGTAAATTTTAGCTGATAGACCCTAGGTTCGCTCAGCTAAGCATCCATAGCCTTCAAATTGCATTTCTTTTTGTTCCATGGTTGTATATGACAAGTAGTACAAGTTTAGTCGCACACCAAGGTCACTGTTTTTTTTGATGACTTAACCGAAATAAAAAATCCCTAATGGAAAAACCTGAACGGTATACAACAAAACCGAACACAACGGCACGAGAATTTGGAGAATACTGAAGAGGAAAAAACCATTAGGGATTTCAGCCGAAGTTCCGCGCCCCGGGGGACCCTTAGAAACAAAATCTTTACTTACCTTTGCAACGATGCAAATACAAAAAAAGAAAAACCGTCAATTTCTCAAAAGACACCTTCAAGTCAAAAATCTTTCAAGTATTTTAGTTATGGATATAATTCGCCATTTTAACGTACATACAACTTACGTACAAACCGCCACATTTTAGTTTTACCGCACGTAAACCGATCAGCGAACTCGACAATTTTCTACTTTGGACGAGAAAATTGTGTAATTTGGATGGGAATTCTTTTAACGTGTGTTTTCTTATCTAATCCACATCCGAATCAGTCGCACCTAGCGCCACCTTAGCAGTCCCTATTTTGCACTGTTTCATTCAGTGCTTTGCGCGCCGGTGCCACTAACGCTTAAAGTTGGAGCAAGCGCTTGCTGCATGACATGGATTAGATAAATGTACTTCAAAATATTTTAAGCAGACAGACGAAATTTAATATTTTGAAACAATTTAGAACACTTGAAGAAGCACACGTTGAGTTTGGTTACCGAGGGACCGTGGATGGTTTAACCAAACAACCGGCAGCGCTTGATTTAAGTTATGTTTTAGTTTGACAATTATCACATAGATGACTACATAGCAACGCGAATGGTGAACATGGAAACCATCGTGTAACTATTTTGTATCATATGTGACAACGTCTGCGGTTTGTCTTCATGGTAACCATCAAAGAAAACAAACAATGTGCTTTTATTAAAACTATGTTTCGTGTTAGTTTGGTTAATATGAAGCCATTCCGCATACTTAGACCTGGTGTACTAAACATTTTTATGCCTGTTTTGCTGTGGCTTGCCGCATCGAAATTCCAGGAATGAAGTTTTCTTAATAAGAAAACAACATATCCATTACATTTACAGTAATTGCCACGCCGCTCCTAAACTGTAAATGTCTTGACAAACTGAAAACTATTTGAGTTTCAATTTGTCGATTTGAAAATGACTGACAAGATTAAAGTTTCCTTCGAAAGATTTTGAAAAATTTAGTCATTTCTCTTAATAGTGGATTTCATCCTTTAAATTTTTAAAGGTTCTAACCCCATACTCTTTATCTAAGCGTAGCAACTACCCGCTGCAACTACAGCGCATGCCTAAGCTATCTAAACTTCCTACCTGCGCATGGCACCGGAATTCCGCCTTGCAAAGGAATGCCCCTTGAAGGAGGTAACCCATCATGCCCTTAACTTAACCTAGTGCATGTTGCACCTAGGGGCGACCTCCAACCGGGGTGGGTTAAACTACTCATGCATTATAGGGGATCCATGCAGGAGTGCCTTAATAGTCAATGTAGAAAGCCGTTCATGAAATTGGCCAACTACAACGACTGCATGCTCTTACCATACTAGGGGAGACATATTTTTCTTCCCACCAAAACCACGATCTTCCCTTCGTCTTCAATAGGCCTTTCTCGCTTGATCCAGTCTTCAAAGGTCTTCTTACAGATGCTATTTGCATCCTCTACGCTAAGGTACCATTTGTACCAACTAACCCCAAGTTGAAGTTGCCTTCCTTGGGCCAAACTTCACTTGCATTTGCAATTCTAAGCTTTGGTACTGTCTATCCTTCTGCGAGGCAACAACCGCTGCGATCATGCGTAGCTCCTTAAAGCAGTATATTCACACAGAGGTTTTTCGAAGGTAAATTATATAGAACAACACAATTGTTGCATGCAAGTCACAGATTTGAAATAGTTCATACAAATTCACGCTTACTAAGACACAAATTTTAAAAGAATTAAAGCAGCACCGATAAACACTATTGGATTATTTTAACCAAAAGAACACTTTTATTACCTCTTAATCAAGACTATTTTTGAAAATGCAGATGTAAATTTCTTTAAATATATATATTTGCATTCCTGCATTAAAAAAATAGCCTTACAGTGGAATATACTGAACACCAAGATTTGTTGTGTCTATTGCCCGAATTATATTAGAGATTTGACCTGTTAACAGGCCTAACTAAATAAAAGGTTTATTAATATTACACTTACGGTTTTCGACGAATCCTTGGCAGTTCGACGATAGACTACGATGAATGACAAATCTCATACCAATTGTGAAGATGAAACGATCGGAGGTTGAGCAAGGACAGCCACAAAAAAGCCCAAAATAATTTTTTGAAAAATTCAGAACGTTGATGGTGAAACCAATTTTCAGGCTACCTGACAAACATCACCGCTTTTATGTCGACGACGGCAAGCACAGAAACATGATTGGCCATTTCTTGCAACTGTGCATGTCGTCTACGGCATTAAATCGGAAATATCGACAGCCAGTCGAAAAATTAGGATTTTTAGGTTTTTCATTTTCATGTTAAAGAAATTCCATGTTTTTATCACAAAAAGTTTCAATTAAATAATGTTGACATTTGGGCATTTGACAGCGGCGTGGTTTTATCCATCATTGCGATTGATTGACCAGTCGTGATGTTAGCAGGAAAACTCCCAGGAAAATGTTTTAGAAAAGGTCATAATATTGACTTTTCCATGGAAACCGGCGTTAGGCTGATGGATGCATTGCTCCAGAGTAGTGTTTAGCGTTTGCATTCTTTTTAGAGATGGTCTTTAAAGCATTAGAAGTCACGTATTTTTCAATTTCATCAAAGTGTATTGTTCATTCTTGATCATTGTTCAGAAGAGTTCATTAATGTCTATTGTCCATTCTTGATCATTGTTCAGAGGTCTTCATTAAAGTAAATTGTTCATTTGTTCATTCTTGAGCATTCTTCAGAGGACTTCATTAAAGTACGTATATTGTCCATTCTTGATCAGGTTTCTACATAGGACAATTGAAGCCAATGTCAGTTCACACTATACTTCCATAAATGAAAAACATTGATAACATACTTACATTGAACATTTTATTCACTAGTAATGTAGTTCAAGGGAAGAAGAATTTCAACCAAATTACAGAATTGTATTTTGTTCTTATGTTTAGATGAGCGTCAAGGAACTGGTCGGCAACAGCCACAATTCTCTTCAACCGCTGTGAACAATAACCACTTTCTTTAATTGTGGAGTCTACGATCATGGTAAATACACCAACATTTGTTCGTTGTTTCTCAATCTCATTTGTGGACTAATTGTCGTTTAAGAGAAGAATATTCATGTCTAAAATCAAGCATAGAGGAAACAAAAGTTACTAAGACGGAAACTTTATGGGAAGGCCACACTGCACTTTGCATTAACGAACATCACATGCAGTGTCCCAATTCAATGTTTACTCAATGCAAAAGAACTTGAAACAAGACATTTACCTGAACATTTTTTCAAAGCACTCCAAGAGATATTTCACCGTGGAATAATTTCGACTTCGGCTAACTATTCTTCGTGCAATTACAGACTTTCACGTTCAAATGGCACGTTCTTAGTCTTAGACTATGGCCCAAGTTTCACGAACGTGTTGTATTCTGATTGGTCAGTGACTAGGTGTGTTGTAAACGTGTTGTGTTCTGATTGGTCATTTACCAGGTGTGTCGTCAATTGTACACTGTGAAATTTAGAATTTGCATGATTCATCACTTAGAAGTTATTAATCCCCATAGAGCGGTAAATGCAATTTAATACAATATAAATAAAAACGTATACTTCAGCTACAGCAAATAGCAAATCCCAAACATTTAAGTCTCTTTGGGGAACAACTACAGCTGAATCATGCAAATTCTAAAGGTCCACTGATGTCAAAAATGATTTGATAAACCCTCTAGATTGTTATCTTCATCTCATTTTCTTATTGTATTTATTAGCATTAACATTTGATCTCTTTTAATTATCATTCTACATAAAAACGACGTTTGGCAATTAAACTACTGTAAAATTTCAAAAGCCACTGACTGTTCTAACCTCACTAGTGCATTAAATTTTCAATGGACGAAAATCTTTTGTG